AAATTGTCCCTTAGATATCCGTAATTCTCCATATTTTTACAACGTACATCACTCCCCTTGGTTCCTTTCTTATCGGACATGGATAGATTGATCTATTGAGCAGCTCTATTTTTATAAAATGTATTATAAAATTTTACCATATCTAATTTTTTTCAAGCATGGTTGACTATAATTCTAATTGTACTCACATGACAAGCAACATCCTATAAAGAATGATAATATTTATCCTTAGCTTTTACTAGATATATAAAAAACGAGAAAAAATAAATTTAATTTAACACCACCTCAATTGTCAATCAAACCAATATCACAGGATCTATCATTTTATTTTCATTATGTCCTAAATACATTATACCAATATTGATACAAGAATAAATCATATTTCCAGCAATTTTAGGCGTACTTGCTCAACTGAAGCTATCAATCTATTGATATTTGGAGTATACAGTTAGTAATTTTATTTTTTGACAATTGATTCTGTGCTATCACTCCCTAGTTATCTAATTTGATGAGCATTTATGGACATTTACTAAATTATTTATTATGCTTCTCTTAGCAATTATAATAGAATTTGAATGGATAATAATGAGTTGTATACATTTCCAGTGAATAAAATATTTTTTTATTCTATTTCTATTGCCATCAACTTTTAGTTGTCTATGGTATAAAATCTCAGCTTTAAAAAACAATTATCTTGACATTTTCGATACATTTTTTCTCTTATTTCACTTATTAATGAGTAATGCTAAAAATCACCTGAATTTGTATGATCTTTGATAACAATAATACAATAATATTAGTGAGTATAGTATAGTAAATTAGCAAATATTTCATGTATAACCTGAAAAACTATAGCCGTGTAGATATAAAAGTATGTCAATGGTACAGATATCATCAACGATACCTTTCGTGGAGAGTGATATCCCATAATTTTACCAGTTACAGCTGGATAGTGGAATTGACCATTTTAATTTATTTAACGTAAATCGATGGCTACATTAAGCCGCTGTGTTCAATACTATGCCAGTGTAGACTTTAAAATAGAAATTTTAAAATCAGAATAAATATTATACATTACCGAACTAACTAACATAAAGTAAATACTGTACAGGTAATGTTATAGCGACGCTATATTATTTTAAGACTATTCAGACATTATGTGCAGACATTTTAAATCGCGAGTAAACTTAAAGAAAGGAAAAATAAATACACAAATAGCGATAGATCGATTGTATTGGATTTTATTATTTATCGTGAGGAAGAAGATAATGCTTTGCCGGCAAGAGTAAAATATGACGGATGTTGAATATGAATGACTATATTATCGTGCCTTTCTATCCAACGTAAGGACGTCTCCGGTCGAGACAGTATCCAAATGATAATGATGATAATATTATGGCTGATTGGTTGCATAAGTCTGGCAGTCATAGATAGAAATATATAATATAACCCTAATGATATTATTTTTCAGGATAAATAAAATAGCTATTATTCTATCATACTGTGAAAGGCTTTAATTCCAGCTGGTACTGTTTGCTTGCATGACGACGACAATTATCATTAATTAAAAATATATGGTTAATCAAAATTTAAATTTCCCAAGAATTCTTACATATCTATGTTGTATAAATGTATACATATAATTGATATTATTGAAAGACAGAGAGAAAAAAACTGGTGAGATACAAATGTAGTATTCCAGCTTCTTACCCTTTCTTACCTAATGATGTGATGTGCTTAAATTACATTTATTCATTAGTATAGACATGTAGATAGAGGAATAATATCCAAATTGAGCTGGATATGATCAATTTAATATTATATAATCTACAATAAGTATACGTTAGGTAAAAATTCAAAGTGGTATAACGCCTATAGAAATCAATTGACTCTTTTCATCTTCCAATGAACATCAATGTAATTTAACAAGGACGAAAACATGAACAAATCTAAATATATTCCATTTAATAAATTTATCAGTATTGAAGGTTAAAATATCTACAAAACATAATAATCGATAAAACGCATTTGATTCTATTACACTACTCTTAGAGTGGGCATAACTCACGCATTTTGTTGGTCAAAATTTAGATTAATATTTCAATTGTGGATTTTTTAATCGAGTATTTTGATTCCATCACATTCTTTGTAAAAATATACAATATACATACATACATACATATAATAAAATAATTCTCTACCTAATATAATACAACCCATGTAGATATTTGTCGACACACAATGTCTATAATGTACATATATTGTTTAATAGTAGAATTTTGAAATTATTGAATTTTAATATTAGCGTATATGCCAACTTTATTACAAAATTCGATAGCAAGAGTTACTGACTGTTACACAATCTACTATATAGCTTTATAGAGTATATTAAACTATAAATATAGATTGTAGACTTCAATCGAATATTTTGATTCTATTACATTATTTATGACATGTATTTACTTCAACAATAACTATACGTATTTTTTTTATCCCAAAGCTATTTTTTCCTTTTTTTTATTTCCCCTAATAATAATGTCGTCATCCTATAGTTCAATTAGTGTCAATACTTCTCTCAACTCGTCACCTACTATTATTCTAGTCTTTTCAACATATTTTTTTTACTATCGTCAGTTGGTATTGTTTAGAATTGATTTATTTCTAAGCAAACTTCATCTATTAAAACGCAACTCCTCTATAGCATGTCATGATTAGAATAAATTTGGTAAAGGTATTGCACAATTAGGACCAAATGGAAAAATAACAATAACAAGTAGGCGGAGAGAAATAATCACAAAGTAATGCTCAACTTATGGAAAACACAATTTAATGTAAAGAATTTCTCCCACCTGGTAGATCTGATTTCCTTCTATAGGATATCTCGCGCATTTTTCTCTTTCTTTTTGATTTCGTTATAATTACAGGCATCATCGTCACCATAACAATACGAATGATGATATCCAGTCACACTAATCATCAATAGCAATATCATTTAATAAACTCCTTCTTCGCTATTTTTCGATCAGTTGCGTCTTGCATCCTTCAGCGACAGATTAGATTCTACTCCAGTTCGATTGACTAGGTCTGGGTCAATTTTTTTTTCCTTAACGTTTGCAAGAATAGAAATTCTCTATTTCTAACTTATTCTACTACTTATTACTAACTAGCTTCTAGTTATTTAATTTTTCTTTTAATTCTTGCTATATATTTCAGTCGCTACCTTATAATTAAATTTAATGAAATTCTTATTTTCATGGTTATTATTAAGCATTTCAATTGATTTTCTCGATATTTCAACTACTGTTACAGATAAACTGGGAAAAAATCAAATTGAAAATTCTTATTAAACTGGATTTTGTTAATATCACTCACACTGAAAGGTAAGGGAAGATAAGGTGTTTTATAAACTTGTTTAAGTAAAAAATATACCGGTGCCGTATCCCATATTGCAGGCATTGCTATCAACGATTACAAATTTAATGAGAGGCTGTTGATGTACTATCTCAATTTCTAGTTAATACAGTATAAATTCACACTTAATTTATATTATAATCCAAAGGTTAGAATATTTCTATAATATTTTATAATAATCCACCTAAGCATACCCACAATCTTAATTTCGATGTATCGTAATTCTATCCTTGATAGCATTACCGTGATTGAAATTCAGGTTCAACGAATTGGATTCTTCTACTAATATGGAATACTGTAGCTTAAATTTTAAATTTAAGAAATAATTAATTTATGTAATCGCTAGTTACGAAACGACCTATAAAAGAAAGAAATTAACATTTTGTCGAGAGATTAGTATAAATCACAGCATCTTATTAATAGAATCATCACCCTCTTGTAGTAAAAATTGATAGTTTTATCCAAATAACGGACTAGTGTTGGCTTTACATAGATAAAAAAATTAGGTAAAATGCAATAGATGAAGATGGATAGAAAAAGAGAATTCATTTCTATCACAATTAAGCTGACGAAAGCGAAAATTAGTAATGAGTAATATCAGCCTGACAATAGTAACAAAAAACCCAACGTTTTAATTTCAAGGTAATATTTTAAAATTATCAAGCGTGACACAATTATTGAATAGCATGAAATAAAAAGAAAATTTTCTGCTGTAGCTATTGTTGTTATGGTAGACCTATTCAAATGGAAATTCAATCATGCGTTTACTATCAATGTAGTCATAAAAATTGCCAATCTTGTCGGTGTAACTATTATTATTTTTAATGGGCGGGGGCGACAATACATAAGAAAGAAAATAGAGAAATCTTTTTTGGAAAAAGCCAATACCAATTTAATGTAAAATTCTAAATTTGTCGCCAGGTCTTTCTAAAGAAGAATGTATCACTTACTTTTAACAATTCATTTTTTCTTATTTTCTCTTTTAACAGAATAGTTGATTTATTACTGTTCTACGGAAGTCTATCCTCATCAAGATCGTTCAAAATTAGCGAGGTAGGTCAATAATTGAATATTTATTAACCGAAATAGGTGGAAACTTAATTAGCTGTGTAGATATATCAGTTATTTTAACTAGACCAGTTACTTATTCTTATCCTACCTTACCGCGAATAATTATATCTAAGAGATAGCATACACTGGAAGCGTGAATTTTTTATAGGCCATAATGATGATGGTATTGATAATCTCTTCCTCGTGTTATCTATGTAAAACCAACAAAATATTGAAATAAGAGAGGAAAGGAGATCATAGTATCTGTTAGTGCAAAGGTCAATTAATGTTCATATTCAATTTTTTTCTTTTTTTATTTTCCTCCCGCATTGCATCTCTTTTCGACATCCGCAGCTTGTGATTAGAAAAGAAAAGAAAAATAGCTAGCACAGGAACTGGTTGGGCGCTATATTAACCCCTTGATATCAAGTTATTGTTACTGTAATCTACGTTTACTTGTTTCATTCACGTATAGTGAACGTACTACGAATCAATTTTTTTGTCCATTTACAAAAAACCGACGAAAAAGAAAAGAAAAGATGCCGAAAGTCTATGTAATGAAAGATCGACCTTATTTATATCATCCTTTCAAATCGGTTCCATATGTTAACAACTATATGTATGAAAATCCAAGTAAAGCTGCTTTATTCAACAATACCTATCCAGAATATAATTATCCTATGCTTTCACCATCAGGGCTAGGTATGATGCCTTTACTAGATAGTCCACTTTATAGATCATCTGCATATCCATTGCAACATCATGCCGCTACCGCTGCTGCTGCAGCTGCCGCCGCTATGATGGCAAATCAGCAGCAAGCTCTTAAACTTCAATTGGACAATGCCTTTTTACACAATCTTGGCCAATTTTCGTCTATTTTACCAATGAATACATGCGAGAAAACAATCTCGCCTGTCTCTACTTCATTCCCAACAAGTCAAAAGTTTGAAAAATTGTCCTCTAAAATTGAATCACCTAATGCTGTCTATCCAAGTTGTCCAAAAGAAGAATTTGAGCACCAGTTCCGAAAATGCCGTAGCAGTAGTCCTACGGATAGTGATATTACCGTCCAATCGAACGCTGATAGTTGTATTAGTAAAAAAAGTTCTAGTATCCCCAACGAATACATATGTCAACTATGTAAGAATACATTTCCAAATCCGTTAGGTTTGGCTCAGCATAAATGTCCTAAAATTGTGCATGTTCAACACAAATGTCCCGAATGTGGGAAAGTATTTAATTGCCCAGCTAACTTAGCATCTCATCGTCGTTGGCATAAACCTAAAGATAAAACCGACAGCGATTTAACGTCTACACATAACCACCAAAATTCTACTGAGATAAATGTTACAAATGTGTAATACTCATTCTCAGTCTTTTACCCAGGCAGAAATTAATTAGTAAAAATCTGCAATTTTTCTCAACTGTCAAGTCATAAATGACGGCAAATTACTGTATAGTTATGAGGCGTATTTTTCTTTCTATGATATGTCTTATAATTATAAAGAGTATGAGCTAATGTTCATATAAGCCCAATGTGGGCCTTAAGTAAAATAATAATCAATTACTACTAGGTTTTTACGATTGCATGTATACTAATGGTAGAATGGATAGAATTTATATTATACATAGTGCAATAAAAATAATTTTTCTCCTCAATTATTTGGGCGTTATTATATCTATTCTACAAGTTAAAAATTCTTGTAGTGTATACAGCATAGATGCGTGTCTGGATCTATATGTCTATGTGTAAAACTCTTTCTATCTCTCTCAATATGAATGTGTGTTTAATATGCAGATATGGCATATATAAGATGTATTTTAATGATAAAGTAGTCCTAATGAGGATGTATCCTACCTATTCATAATATCTTGCCTTAATTATGTGATTTTAGTCACCAACTAAGTAGAGACTTAATATATTACAGGCTAGTAGTATATGATAAAGTGTCTTCAAAAAAATAAAACAAGAACTACAATTTCTTGTAAACTACACTTTATTACACAAATTAGACTGGTCTTACAACAACCAAGTACTATCTAGCTGTAATTAGACTATCTAAATTACTCTGCTAAATTCACGATTTATAAACAATTATCTTATTGTCTAACATATAAGTTAAACTATTCTCATACAATCTTAGGTAACTATGTATTAACAATAGGCGGTCTATATCGACTTATATCCATTCTCTTAAAATTGCTTACTTCTACGCATGTAATCAGTCATGGGTGATAATCCTATTTCGTGGCTTTAATAACAAATCTTTAATTATGCAATTTTACTCTGTCAATCTTACTTATTTTAAAGTTATACTATCTACTATTGGGGCCTATGGTATGATTAATTAATTATCATGTGTAGAAGAATGAGTATCTACACAATTTGATCAACCATTTCAACAAATGATGGTACACCATTACAACAAATGATGGTACACCATTACATTCTCTATCTAGGGCTAAATTATTGGCATTGGATGATTAATTTTGCGTATGTACTTCAAGCTATTGCTATTTAATTAATTTATAGACGTGTAAGAATATGGTTATGAATATCTTTATAATTATAACTTTACATATATTGTAGTAATATTATAAATTGATGCTTAAGTACAAGCTGTGATCAAATATAGTCGATAATATCGTGTTCATTAGGATATGATACAAATCGTCTCTTGTCATTTTTTTTTAGCTATAATCAATTTTTAATATGTTATTTATGAAGAAAATGTGATTCTTTCGCATCGAGTAGCAGTATAGTATTATACTGTGCCATGACTAGACGATTTACCGTCACTTTACGATCAAAATTATGGTGGAAACTCGATCCATCATGTTCTATGTCGTAATACAGTAACACTATAACTTCTACCTTATAAATATTGATCAGTTATTACAGTTTGAAAGTCTTTACTTTATAGTGTTTTTAAGTTAGCACTATTATATCGTATAATGTTGCAAACACTTTTAAGTATATCTAATCTAAACTTGAAAAGTATCCAATAAACACATTAAATCATATAAGAATGTGCTTCTACCTCAACTTTACTCCATCTCGATGAAAATATCCATATTGTCTTTATGCTCGGTATAACCAATCTTATTTTCAAATGTTTTTGGCGACAATAGATTGTTGCCGGTAGTATATTGGAATGGAATAAACAACATTTCAGATTGGGCTTAAATAAATTGCATAAACACAGAACCTTGAAATGATCGATATTCCAAGATTAGCACCTATTTTTTTCAAACTCCCTTGATAAGGTGTGCTTGAAATTTTTTTAGTTAAAAATAGGTTTCTTGAAGACTAGAACAATATTTTATTATTAGTATGGACGATTTAGACTAATATTTGGGGTTTGACCGGGTATACGTGTTATCTATGGTCTATGGAAACCTAATAAGGCTAAAATGTGCTTTAGACTGAACTACTGTACGCGTATGTATGGTTGAGTACAGAGGATTTTTAATTTAGATATATCATGTAGAAATGGTCGATATTTTCGAGGTTGGAGTATACTTAAGCTCCATTGATAATTAATTTATAATTGATTAATATTATCCACTATATATTTACTATACGTTTCTAATTGAATGATATAAAAATGATATTTTATTCTTATTCATGAACTGGACGGGTATTTGGTAACCGAACTCGTTGGTCATCAATAAAGATGACAAATACTGAAAGCAGCGCATGAATATGAAAGTCTTACATACGATATATTGTAACGCGATGATTAAGCAGTTATTCAATTTTTCGACAAAAAATAATAATACCTAATCACTTTTTTTGACTGGTTTTAGTTTATCCATTCATTTCTTTTCATGATTAATGACTGTACAGGTCGCCATTGTACACCTGTAAGTGCGTGTAAAGTATACCCAATGTGCAAATACAGTATACAGAACCCACTGCAATATCTCATATGAAGAAATGAGTAAATCGAGCGGCTCCTCCATATACTGTACTTTACGCTGTTATTGCACAATAGGCTGTAGTTTTTGCTGCCTTTTGATATTGAATGTTGTAATAACTATATTGGGCTACTTCAATCACGACAACTGAATCCAGTACTGTTCAGTAATACTGTGCGCTAATATCGAATATCGAATGGGATATTTAAAGCGAGGTTGGTCCTATCGATCGGCCCCAACTGATTAGTTAATAAATTAGTAAGCATATTAGTAGTTATTGCTTGCTAAAGTCATTTCTATTCAGCTTTACAACAGTAGTATCCAGGAAGGCAGATGAAGAAGATTCAACGCTCCATGATCATAGGGAGGAGGGTAGAAGAAAAAAAAACAAGAGTACCGTAACTATGCAACCTGAATCAAGTAACTGGATATAGGTCACAGGTACCGGTACCGGTACCGGCCACCGGATGTGAGACTGGAAATTCACGTATCGCACTGTACCGTACAATACAGGCATTACGGTACTAGCACGAGTATAAATAACTTGCGCAAATAACTGGTAAATCCGGTAAATTGACGCTTGAGCTGTACAGGCTTTACAGCGCACTCCGTCACGTTCGAAACTAGACATACCAAGGCCGAAAACAACAATAGCCAGAAGGTATCACGTGCCTCTCTTTTCAAATTATTATAATCAGCCACTGTACTGTACTGTACAGTACAACTACAGTACTGTACTGTACTGTACTGTACTGTACTGTACTGTACATGCCAAGTATGAATTTCAAATTACAGTACTGTACAGTTGCGTATGGGCACTTAACCAAGTACAGTACTGTACAGTACAGTACAGTACAGTACAAAATTTTGCAGCTTTACAACAATTTACTGTATTTTGCCGATAGCACTCTAAAGAGTGCTATTATTCAGCTTTACAGTATATTCGTATAATTAATAATTTTTATTACATTTCTATTCGCTCTCGTGATTTTAGGGCACCAGTACTCTGATTCGAACTGGTTCACACTGTACTAGTGTACTATACTGTACCGCAACTCCGGCTTTTCCATACAGTACTGTAGATTTTAACTTGATGTTCAGGAGGGCAAAATGACGAGACAACTAGACACGATTGCTCAATGCTCATTGGCCTGATCTCCACGATTTTCCCTAGTTTCTCTTGTTTATCGTGGGGATCAGGCCAATGAGCAATCGTGCCTTGTCGTCTCGTAATTTTGCCCTGTTCGCAATTCTACAGTACTGTACGTACGTACAGTACTGTATGCACTGTAAGTATAGCACTGAAGGTGAGGGAAATGCGGACGATCGGACATTACTACAGCAGTACAGCCTACAACAAGCAACGGGTACATGTGCAGTTTGTGCTGTACTGTACAGTACAGTACTGTAGACTACAAGTCAGATCGGTGTGATGAACTCAATCCAATTTTTATTTTCGATCGTCATTTTTTTTCGACATGACAACCAGGATTTGATTTGCTGTCAAAGAAAAAATTTTCATCTTTAAATTAACCTAAAAGTGACTACGTCACTGCGCACCATGGTGATCTTCAATGTACTATGATTCCATAGTTCCACCGGCGTAACCGGTATTTCAAGTGATGATGATTATAATACTATTTTCGCGTTTAATTTCAAAGTACAGTACTATACAGTAGTTAGTGTTCCGCAACAACACTAACTGTACTGTACAGCGTAATTAATTATTCTTTCACGTTCGAATAATCGCGTAAACAGTTTGAATTTTCTGTTCGTGACGTAGTCGTATCAAATCTATGTCGTCACTGAGTACAGTACATTATACTGTACTGTACACTACTAAATCTACAGTATCATGCAGAAGCAGTTTTGGTGTACTGTACACTGTACTGTGCTACTGTACTGTACTGTACAGTACTGTATGTGAGTCATACAGTACAGTACAGTACAGTACAGTGTGACCATTATGATGATGTACTGTACTGCACTGTACAGTGTAGTATAGCGGTACAACACGTGAGAAGAAGGCATTCCTGATTCGAAGGCATAAGTTCAAAAGGACTTTTTACATCTCACTGAGTTCTCAGTATAGTAGTCAGTAATTCAAATGACTTAGGACAGACTGCGTTCATAGCTTTCACTAAGGCAGCCCTATGGAAGTGTCGATGTCGATGATGATTGTCTTGAGTCGCTCTATTTCGAGATACGCATAGAAATCTCTCTGAGTACGAATCATGTAGCAATAATGCTGCATCATGATGGAAGTCATGGATGTCGTCCATCTTGAGCATAAAAGTCATTCCAAATGATATTTCCAATACTGTACACTATAAGCCTAGACTAATACTAATACTATAGTGGAATACTGTATACTGTCCAGTAGTATCTCTTGTATTGACGTTGGCGGTACGGTAAATATGTACCAACCGTCGATAATAATCTTACGGTCAATAAACATGTCTACTGGAGAGCACCGTACAGTACAGTACAGTGTACAGTCTACAGTACAATACTGTAGAGTAACAGTAGCGTAGTGTCTGCAAGTTTACAGTCTTTACTATTCTTGACTTGACTGACTGAGGATGACAGTACTGTAGAGCTAATCAATAATAACTATGAATTATTTGCATACTGTATTGTATGTATCTTGAAAGTCCATATTTGGGGTGTCATCATTTACACTGCACATGTGCCAACTTAGAGCTGACATAACCGAAATGAAATGAAAAGTTTGAATGACGTTGCTGTACCGGACAAAACGAAAACAATGGAAGCAATGCGCGCGCGCACGTATTTAAAACCCGTCAAGCCAGTTTGACGAGCTTGCGCTTTGCACCAAAGCCATGAACACAAAGACTAAGGCAGTCGTTGGTCGAGTTCAGTAAGCAATTTTCAAAGCTCCAGTAGGTACAATATCAGTCATCGAGTTGAATTTTAGTCAGTGATCAGTCCAGAAAGAGAAAAAAGCAACACTATTCCATAGGTATTTGCTGGATTATTACGTCTAAATTGTCCAGAGGATTGGCTTACGCTGTAAAGATACAAGCTGCAAAATAGCCTGGCTTGAAAATTGAGTTGAATTTGGATAAGAGACGTTCACCAATCTTGAAAGTGATAAAGCCAGAGCGCGCAAAAAGACAGTTCAACCTAGTAAGTATGTTGTACGTTCATGACTCCTCCTAATGACCCATCTACAGTACTGTACAGTATGGCAATGACAATAAGTGATTGAAAGTAAGCACTTTTGCGTTGCTAATCTTACTTTCCTAGTGTCAATAATGTAGTTTGCGTGGTGGCATATTGCATTCATTCCAATTCAACGATATGCAAGTGTTAAATGCATGGAAATATCGAGTGAAGACGAGTAGTTTGATGACGTTCTTTGGTGTCGATCAGCTCTAGCAGCTATGATAAGGAGCAAATGCTTCTTCTCAATACAGTAGTAGGATGCCATAGTATCAGTACTTCACTTGACATTCCAACAACGATTTTCCAATTGGTAATTTGATTTCAATTTGGACCATTATCAATTTGTTTAGTCCATGACATCGATATAGGCTTAGAATGCAGTTATTCATCATAACGTAGCGTTCGTTTATGGCTGACATTCATTGGAGAAAATAACTGTCCATGATGATTGCGATTGTACTTCTGGTATCCCCGGAAATAACATTTCAAATTTTTTTCATCACAAGCTCGTTGAATCTTTTTACTTGTAGTCATTGTTGTTGCAATTGATGATGGTGAGCAGATAGTGATGACTCGACCGTGAAGTCATGACTACCATGATGAAGGAAATCAATGCTGGATTGTTACATTTGAGCATGAAACAAGTAAAACTTGTAGTTGAATCGATTGTATTTGGCATAATTCCAACTTGCTCCTTATCATCGATGCAGTACTAAGCATTAACAAGTTGATTATGCAGAAATTGAAATGACTATCATTTGATCGAGGTAACTGAAGTTAGCGTTTAAGTAGAACGTTGTCGTTGTTATTGCTTCGAAGCCACTGCAGATAAATCATTAATGGTCAGTAGTATCGCCTGCCGATAATATAGTTCAATTAATTTTTATTGAATTCCAAATCATAATGCACCCAGCCCTACTACGTTATAGTGTTATTAATCCACTGATGTACCGATGCCTGATTGATAGCATTGAATTTATTGATATACACGTTAATTAATGATTATCATGAAATGTTAGACTTATACTGTACAGTAAGAGTGTTAACAAAATTGTTAATCCATGAGCTATTGATATCATTGCAGTACAGTGATGAGTTAATATCAATATCGGATTGAAGAAGTACTGTACTTGCCAGTATGGTACACCGATCGTTCTCCAATTTCATACAATAATTATTATTATAATAGGGTTAATATATATCAGTTACTATCTAGCTATTGGACACTCTATTGGTAGTTTTACGTCTGCACCATCTGCACTATACGAGTTGTTACAGTTTTAATGCAATCGAGTGTTATTAATATGCTGCATTTCCATCAGAGTATACGTAAAAGATAGTAGTATTAAAGTATTGAAGAGGTTATTTTAATTACGGATATTATTAGTTTTTCCGATGCAAAGTCATCCACCTTGATGATAATCTTATCCTAAACATCAGAAATTACGGTTAGCAGCATCAGTCCAATACTGAAAGCTGTCAAATTGAGGTACTGTATCTACTCTACTAGACTACAGGAACAGAAATAACTTGCCAATGGTAGTTAAATTGTAATAAAATATGTGCCATTGACGTAGATGATTTGATTTATAGTTTGCTGTCTACGTCTAAGATCGTGTAAGTAACGGTACTTGATGTAGATTGCTTGAATATCACGCACTTTAGTTATGATTGCATAATAAGTTCGACTGGACACTTCGTAAGATATCGCCGCTTGACCGTTAAGATTTTTATAGTTCAATTACTAATGATCGCGTCCACAGAGTAAGAGTTGTAACGTGTAATATTCTCTTCAGCCTACTTCAACGGTGCAGATATGACTTATAGTGACTATGAATACATATTACTATATCATACTATGTATTCCATCAATTATAGGAATTGACAACAAATTTAACCCTTGGTTGATATGCTTATCATTATACAGTAACCCTCAAAACCCGTTATTACAGTGAAATACCTACCTGAATGTTATTATTCTTGGAATAATATTGAAATTCTTTCCATGATATTTAATATAGTATTAATAATGTTATTTCTTTCGATGGGGGTGGGGTGGGTTAATGAATGATATTACGTTATGGTTATAAACTGAATTGAAATCTTAAATAAACATATCGTGCAGTATCAGTATTCGTTTCATACAAGTACTGCATGTAGTCGACATCTTTGCAGGTTTTGTGCCCTAAACAGGATCTGCGACAACTTAGTGTAGGAGTCACTATATAAATACAAATCACCCATTAGTCGGGTATCAACATATGTGTGACTATTCAGTGGCTATTATTTTAAACACTGTTTTAGTGTCATTGGTAATGGCTAAAAGTTCGTAATGATATCAAGCTGTGCTACGAAGCTTGCAACCAGAGTATGCAATTTGTTCATGCCTGAATCTATTTGCTCTCTACCAACTGTAGATATTGTCGTAGCACCTTATGGATCTCAAACCTGGTATTTATTAACCATCATTCTTTACAACGATCGCTTTCGTAGCATACATTAGTTTCCTATGCAAGAGATTATACGGTGCGAAAGTGATTTGCATCCAAAGGAAAATATGATTATTTTATCAGGTTACTAATTATTTTATTGCTAGAGTAAAATTTCGGTAATTAACATCATAGAATAAACCAGGTATCATACGTTGTAACAAATAGGCGTTGCGAGAGTAAACGAATTATCCTAGAATTTAATCGTTTAGCCAAAAATAGCATTGTCTCGACTAGGTTTATACTGTTTAAGCGTATCGGCGAATTATTATTACACTCATTAATATTAATAAGCATGTACATTGATCGCTGCACTGTACATAGCTGGCAAGGCTGTTGCAATACGCAGATAGTAAGCTTTACCTACTCTTGCATGTTAGTGAGCTGCTTAACGTTAAATTTGTAATTCTTTGTCGGCTTTGACAACTTAATTGATGCTCTGACCAGCATGTAAAGTGATAATCTTCTATCATAATATTTAGAGTGATTACGATTTCATCAAAACTACGAGATAGCTACGCTTAAGATAAAATCAAGGATGGCCATTATCTTACCCAACGAGGATGAAGCAAAGAGACTTCTCGATTTTAATCAAAAGTTTCCTGTTGACATTTTGGATCGCACACTAGCTAGCGTTAACATGTGCATCGGAGAATTGCCTCAGGTATTTTGTAACTTATATTCCTTTACTATATAATCATACTGTAATTTGTCATTTAGTTAGTTTTATTGTACATTCCTTTGATCTATATTACAGTAAAACTTATGAATTACAAGCAACGTAATTGGTATTATTGTTGACTTGCGGTACTATACGCGTATTAATAATTATATTCATACTATACGATACTTTATACTTTAGAAGTAAAAATTTTTATTGTTATTGCTTCTGGAAATGGCTTTCAACCGTTTTATTTCACGTTTCTTCACGATGTAGCCATGAATATCTCGTGTTCGAAAGACAATGCTAAGTTGTGTTATGAATGATGTAAATGCGTATTTCTATTCTAGTTTAGTCGTTATTATTATGCGTAATACTAAATTACTAATGTCACGTCTGCTGATTTACTTTTATTGAACTTGCTATGTGCATTCTCTACCAACTCATGGGCATGATGTGCTATAGTTGTAGTTTTATCTACCTTATATTATCTTCCTCTATGTATATCCTTATTACGGCTCTTCAGCGAATTGGCATACTCTTGGTATGAAAATGTGTACAATACCTAAGTCATTGAACCTGTCTAGCAAGATGCTAATAGGTCTTTCATTTAAGTCTTGCTGCAAGTGTAAATGCTCTAACATGTATATTACAAAGTAAAAGTACGCAATTTGTATTGCATGACTACGCATCGGAATACATATCGAAATTAAAGTCCTCCATTACTTTTTTGTTATATATCATTGATATATAGCGATATGCTTTCGCATATGAGTAGTAAGCTTTTGGACTATTTGATTATAAAATCAAGTAGCTATCATCTATCATCATGGACATTTTTTTGTCATTTCTACGCCGCCGTCAATATAGAGCTAGTATTTGCATTTATAGTAATGCTTTCGTTAAAGTGGACGAATGTTTGAGCTATAGGCTGTTGCTTATTTTTACTGTCACCATTATTGTAGCCAACGTTTTAATGCGCCGTTGATAAGAAAATGTAGATGTGTTCCATTAATTATGTATAATTCATATCAAGTGTTAGAGTCCTGTATGGACTACATTACTGTAACTTCATCTTCTTGAAAAAAAACTATCAACGCTTTGTATCAGTCGCATGTTTGCAACTTGATACCTTACTAATTGCCAAATTTTGCCTCCGATAACAATAGCCCAACAAAATGTTATTATTAGAGCAGATACATGGTAGAATAAAATTATTTCTATATGAGAAATATCTTTCAGGACTCATGTTTTCATTTTAACGGTTAAATTCTAGTATCAATATACAATATTTGATAGTCCTTCAACTTGACAAGTAAACTTAAAAAGAATGTATGTATAAATTGTAAATGGTATGCGTTTTGCCGGCATAATATAATTGTAGACTATAATGAATAGATAATAAAATAGTTTTCGCCGTCTATTTAGCTTAAATCAAAATATTTTATTTACTAATGGAGAGATTTATTAAAGCATATATTTAATGCTATTATCAAAATAACTCTTGTAGAGGCAATATTTACAAAAGGTCTTGGATGAACTGAAGCAACATCCGCATTCTTGGACTGTCGTTGAAGCTATTTTAGAACTGTCAACTTATGACCACTCGAAGGTTTTCAACGAAAGCATAAATAAGATCTGTTAATTTTATACATTATTATTATTTTATAATAAACATAATTACTTTGTTCTACTTGTTTCAGTATTTTGCTTTGCAAATTCTCGAGTATGTCATTCAAACTAGATGGAAAGTCTTGCCACCACAGCAAAGACAAGGTAACTGACTTGGTTGCCTTCAAGATCACTGTTTCGAAATTTTTAAATGATTATGAATTATATTATCAGGTATAAAAGACTTCACTGTTGGCCAAATAATAAAGATCTCTTCTGACACGGAATTAGCAGAAGTACGTAGATAGTTAATATCAAAGTTGTCTTGATTTCTGTCCTGGTTACAACTGAATATTCTGTATTCAATTCTTAAAATTATATCCAGAAACAGAAAACTTTCTTAAATAAGATGAACATTATCCTGGTACAGGTAAACGCAATATTAATATAGGACAACCTCGTTGAATTGTTTTCAGTATTGTAGTAATAAGATCGTAATAATTTATAGATTTTAAAGAAAGAATGGCCCAAAAACTGGCCAACCTTTATCAGTGACATTTGTGGATCTTGTCGTACAAATCAGTCACTATGTCAAAACAATTTGGTAATTCTGAAACTCTTAAGGTATTTTCGTCGACAATAGCGGCTTATAATTATATTGATTAAAATTTGAAGCATGTATCCTTATAATGGTATTATGATAAATGTTGACCGATCTCGCATTTTTTATAGTGAGGATGTTTTCGAGTTCTCTCTAGGCCAAATGACGCAAGGAAAAATTAAGCATTTAAAGGACAGGTTGGTAGTAGCAATTATTCTTTTATTTGAATGCTACGAATACTAATATAGACTCTTATGTAGCATGTGCAACGAATTTTCAGAAGTATATGCATTGTGCCAGCATATTATGGTTAGTACAGACTTAAAATAATAAATCAAGTAATACTTTATTCTTAATAAGTGTAATTGTATTTCATTTAACAACATTAGGAAACATCGCAAAATCCACAGCTTATATGTACAACTTTGAATGTGAGTTGATTTTAGTTTGAGATTAATAGTAGCTGAAATGCTTGGATTTATTTAATACGAAAAATTTTATAATTTAGACGTTATTGCGCTTCCTAAGTTGGATACCGCTTGGCTACATATTTGAAACCAACTTGATCAACACAATGATTTATAAAGTTTGTTTCACTTTCTTCGTTATTAACATAATTAGTCGTCATTTATTAACTGATGTTTTCGATTTTAACTATTAAATAGTTCTTGAATGTCCCGTTATTCAGAAATGCAACGTTAAAATGTCTTACGGAAATTTGTAAGAACTACAGAACTCACAAATAGCTTGAGTAATATGAGATGTTTTCGTTCATTACTTGATTTGACTGTTTTTTTGCTGAAATAGCTGGAATCAAAGCTTCGCAGTACGAAGGGCAGTTTATAGAACTGTTTACGTCTACTCTAGCAAATCTAAAACAGGTATGCATAGATAGTATGATTAACAGATATTTACATACATGAACGCTTTATATACAATTTCTTATTGGGTTCGATTTTTGTTTTGTTATCGCAGATTCTTCCTTTATCAATTAACATTAAGGAAGCGTATGGAAATGGAACAAATGATGAACAATACTTTATTCAAAATTTAAGTTTATTCCTGCATACCTTTCTCAGTGAACATGGAGATGTTTTAGAGGCAAAAGTAAGTCAAGCTTTCATAACAATATTTGTATAGTATTCCATCCATGCTTTATTTGGTCAGTCTCATACTTCGTTGTGTTATCTTGAAAGACTGTATTGATTGGTATGTTGCTAATTGTAACCGTTTTACCTACTTTATAGGTCGACCTCCACACTCCCTTACTTGAGGTAATTTCCTTATAAAGATATTAGACCTAAAATATTGAAACGCGTCTCGTTAAATTCGAATTTTTGGTACTCCTTTTATTTAACTCAGGCATTGCATTACTTGGTATTAATATCTGAAGTGGAAGAAACTGAGATATTTAAGATTTGCTTAGAATATTGGAACACATTGGCAGCTGATTTATATCGAGAGAGTCCTCTTGCAACTGCCAGCCCAATCTTAGGCCTACCGACGCATCAAACGCCTAGGCGCCAACTTTACCAATCTGTTCTATCGAAGGTAATTTTAGAATGATAGATAGCTAAGAAATACTTGTGTCATATTAAAAATAATCTATCGTATTATCTAAAGGTGCGATATATAATGATTTCCCGAATGGCCAAACCTGAAGAGGTATGTACTATAGTATCATCTCCGCAATTTATTGGTGCTGAGTCATTTGTTAAAACCTCATATTATTATGACTAACGCTTTAAATCTTTTAAAGGTATTAGTAGTTGAGAATGAGCATGGAGAAGTAGTACGAGAATTTATGAAGGATACTGATGCGATTAATATGTACAAGAGCATGAGAGAAACATTAGGTACCGATGAAGCTCTTTTCTTTCCTATACTATATATTTTATTAGATGTATCTTGAAATTATAACTGCACCGATTTTTTATCTACCAGTATATTTAACACACTTGGACTATACGGATATTGAGAGAATAATGACCGAAAAGTTGCAAAACCAAGTGAATGGCACAGAATGGTCTTGGAAAAATTTAAATACGGTAAGATAAATATTTAAAATGTCCCATTACTTGCAAAGAGGTTATTAGAGTTAATTGTAATAATCTTAATGATTCTCTATTATTAAATGGGATTGTTATTGATGGCCTTAGCTATGCTGGGCCATTGGCTCTATTAGCGGCGCAATGCATGAAGAAGGCGAAAAACGCTTCCTTGTTGCGGTTATTAAGGTACGTATAAAGTTCTGCCAACATTCGGTATGTTTAATATCGTAACAGTAGTATCGTTGACTACTATTTAGGATTTACTAGGATTGTGTGAAGTAAAGAGAGGCAAAGACAATAAAGCGATCATAGCTTCAAACATTATGTACATTGTTGGACAATATCCAAGATTCTTAAGGTTTGTTTACTTTTGCTCTGTTAATGTTAGTACAAAATAGACATGTCATTAAACCCAGAAGCTTATTTTCAGGGCTCATTGGAAGTTTTTGAAAACTGTTGTTAACAAACTTTTCGAGTTTATGCACGGTTTGTATTACGAATTTTAGTAATGCTTCACATCTGCGCATATCGAGACTAACTGAAGTTTATTCTATAAACAGAAACACATGATGGAGTCCAGGACATGGCATGCGATACATTTATCAAGATTGCTCAGAAATGCAGACCTCATTTTATACATGTAATTCATATTTGCTGCTGTTATCTATCTACTGTTAATGTAATACAATCTGAATTGAATACGATTTTTCTATAACTTCTTCCTTAGGTTCAATCAGCTGAAGTTATGCCGTTTATTGAGACAATATTGAATGACCTTAGTAGTATTATATGTGACTTGCAACCTCAACAGGTTCGAATTAAGTAACCGGCTTGTTTCGTGATTTGTGATTGTATAGAATTTCGTAGTGCTAATTCTTTTTAATGTGTTGTATAAGTATTTGAAACGTTGTAAAATACTTCTTATCTTAGGTTCAAACATTTTACGAAGCAGTTGGGTATATGATAAGCGCTCAACCTGTAAGTTATCAAATATTTGGATTTATTTTTATGCCCTATGGCAACTTCTATTGACAAAATGCAACATTGGGTTGATAATAAACAGGATAAGGTCGTAATGGAAAGACTCATAGAGAAATTGATGTCATTACCAAATAGCAGCTGGGATACAATTCTGAACGAAGCTTCAAAAGTACAACAATTGTTATTTAGAGGTTACCCTTGTTGTTATATCATTATCTCCAATCATTTTATTCTATTTATGTATATAGAATCCTGATATTCTTAAAGATCCAGAAAATTTAAAAACCATATACAGCATCCTAAAAACGAATGGAAGAGCTTGTAAATCGATTGGGCATGACTTTATCGTCCAGTTGAGACGAAATTATTTGGAAATGCTGAATTTATATAGCACCTTAGGCGAAAGTATCCTGTCATGTGTTGCAACTAGGGGTAAGAACTCTGTTCTGCACTGGCGTAGTAAAAATCATAAGTTAACTGTTCCGTGTTATGAATTGTAGGAGAAGCGGCTGTTAAAGAACCTGTTATTAAAACTATGCGAGCCATCAAGAAAGAAATCCTTAAATTGATATCGAAGTGGATAGAGCAATCGCATGATCCTAAAACCGTACGTTTTATAATATCTACTATAATAATTCTAACCTACATAGCTTAATTTCATACCTCCAAATATTTAGGTCTGCGAAAACTTCATCCCTCCTTTAATGAATGCCGTACTTGGTGATTATCAAAGGAGTATTCCTGCTGCAAGAGAACCGGAAGTTTTAAACTCCTTTGCTATAATTATAAACCGATTAGAAGTAAGTCTCATAGTAATGATTAGACTATTTAATTTTTAATTCTCCAAGACGTTACTTCTTTAACATTTGTCAAAACGTTCATATTTTAGAATCATATCATGGGCCATATTCCTGTTATATTTACCGCTAGCTTTCAATGTACATTAAATATGATCAATAAGGTATGCATAGTATGACAGTGGTCTGTATAGCTCTTTCTATTACTAATGTCAATTTATATATACGCTGATTGAAGGACTTCGAAGAATACCCAGAACATCGTGTAAACTTTTACTTGCTGTTACAAGCTATTACGAAACATACTTTTGAAGGTACTATTTATGAGTATAGAAATATTTCATTACGATAAGATCATTGAGTTGAGTTGGATAGTCTAAGTAAGACTCTTTCTTGGCATATATGTCTAGCCTTTTTTCATATACCACCGGATGAATTTTCTTTGGTAATTAATTCTATAATTTGGGGTATGAAGCATACGATGCGCAATGTCGCAGACACAGGTTCGTTTATTATCGTTAGATCTCTATTTGTTGCTTATCGATTGAAACGTTATAACATTTGCCATGCATTTATTATTTCTGTATAATACCGTGCTAATGTAATCATACAATTCTGTAACAGCTCTGGACATGCTGCAGACATTTCTGGAAAATGTGCAATTGCAAGCCGCCGATGCTGCTAAGCAGGGTTTCTATCAAGCTTTTTATGTATCTTTACTGCAACATGTCTTTTCTGTGCTAACAGATTCATCCCATGTTGCAAGTACGTTTGCTGTTTGATAGAGATTTTTGACTGTTAGAGTTCAGATTATGAAGAAAGTACTTCTCTTTTAGGTTTGAACAAGCAGGCAAAGATACTGGCTTATATGTTCCGTATTGTCGAAAATGGTAAAGTTAAAATTCCACTGTATGATCCTAGCAATGCTCCTAACCCTAATATGGATAACAGAACGTATTTGTTGGAGTTTATTGGTGGTTTGCTGAAGCAGGCTTACCCTCATTTACTAGAGTAAGAAATACAATTATGAACTATTGTTATAATTTTGGGATATTGATCGAAATTTTTCTGTAACAATAATGTTTTTTGACTGTGTATAGTTCACAAATTCACATTATCGTGAAAGGCCTATTTGATCTCAACGAAGACACAAACGCTTTTCGAGAACATCTGCGCGATTTTCTAGTCCAAATAAAGGTATTTGTGGTTTAGATTTAGATCAAATACGTGTTTTGGGAAATTGTTAAAAATTGAGCCTCATCTAATTACTTATTACTTTCGGCGAAGGAATATTGCGGGGAAGATGTAAGTGATTTATTTTTGAGTGAAAGAGAAGCAGAATTGGCTAAAGCAGATGAAGAGAAAAGAAAAAGGCAAATGGCTGTGCCTGGCATATTAAATCCCCATGAGCTACCCGATAAGCAAGATAACGGTTTTCAGTATTCTTTACAAAATTGAAGTAATTGCAGAGTCTTTATATTAGTTTATTAATATGCCGACCAATTGTCTTTTTACTTCAAATGTATACTGAATTAATCGTTATGAATATTTTATTATTACAATAAGTAAGAAGATTTACCTGGTACGTTACTGTACAGAGTCTTAATAACTCATTTATGGTGTATCTACTGTATTATTATGAAACTTAAATTCTACGCTACACACTGCTATAGCTGAGCTACTGATGGATCTCGGTGATTTAATTTGATTTCATAATCAGAGATTTAAATTTTGTTTATCAATTATATCGAAAATTATAGGTGCTACACAATTTGCATGTTTTCTTGTACTGTACGACTGAACTTTAATCATTACTTAATGACTAATAAGACATAATCATATATAACATGTTAGTGTTACTGCACGAAATACATCCTTGCGCGCATTCTATTACATCTGTATACCACTCATATACAAATATTTGGGTCTGCATGCTTGTATAATGGTGATAATTTCATTTTACTTTGGCGCAAGGTCATGCATGACTCGTACGGTAATTACATGTATAAGCTACCGTCATGATCAATAATTATAAAGCAAGTAAAATCGATTTGTCAGCCGACTGTCATAACATTGTGATGTAAGTGAAACGAAGTTGACTATCACTGTTACAGTATGCTAATGAACATGTTATAATTTATAAGTCGATTTGGCCCGAAAGTTTGTGGCAATTGCATGATTTGTTAATTCGATGTTGCTAAAATCGTTAGTCCAGTACCTATAATAACGCTTTCATGCATACATTTGTAATTGTAATTTTACGTATATAAGAAAATCTACGTTATCATCATGTACAATTATCTGATTGGATCGATCTAAACATAGCCGTAGTAAATAATATCGAATTGATATTAATGTTTTGTAACGAATGGCAGATATTTGTCTGTACGTGTGGATATGGCCTACATTTCATTTCTATTAGCCGTTTAGTATTGCATTTGCAAATAACCATCACTGTGATATGTAGACTTTAAAAGTTAATAAAACATCATATTCATATCCTCTTATTCGTAAACGTAGTACTACATGTAGTGCGTACGTCATGAACTTAATAGGTACCCAACATTATAATCTATTGAAATGTATAACTACGTGAAAGCAAATTTGCAAAGCATATTAGAAAAGGCTCAACTTTGCATCCAATATGTTTTACGGAATGCAAGACTACTTGATATTTACTGGTTCATAATATATAATGCAATACTATTATAAGGCAGCGTAGAGACAAGTACTGCACTGCCTGAGTATTTTTTATAAACGAAAGTTTATCTTCAGAATTTTGAATGTTACCGAGATTAGTTACTGTAGTATTGAATACTAACGCACGTGAGAATTGATAGCTACATTAATTTAGTTTAATGCCTTGCTTAAATCGTTGCAGTTTAAAATATAGTTATGCTGGAGGCAGTAGCTGCAAATGCAACGGAGAGTATCTAATCTGACAACTTAAGTTTATTCAGTAGTTAGATTTGACTACAGTAGAGCTGTGCGTAGATTATCTCTGTATAAAGATCTAATAAAATTCTAATATTCTACGAATTTTGTAATTTCGTGATCGGTTTTATCACAACAGTTATATTATTTTATTACCTACTCTGTTGAAATAAACTTGACTTTGTAATTGCGTCACTCTTAGCTACTTGCCGCAATGTAATCCATCCAATAGTCCAGAAATTATATCTTGTAGAATAATTTTTATTCAATAAGTTTCAAGTTTACTTTTGATCGCTTTTTGTACGCACACTTTTGTACAGCTTACCAAGAATAAGTTAGTTTTTTTATAGAGGATTAAACTGTGACCACATACTGTAACGTCAACGCGATTCTGAATAACCTGAGCAGCATAATGTGCCTCCAATACAGTACGATAGTAAATGAAATTAGGGCAAAATTTACGTGAAATTATACAGCACTCAAGTTCTCACAGTTCTTGTTTGATAAGTTTGTAGTTCACTGTACAGTAGAAAGACTATGATCATAGAGTTGCATTGGACGAAAAATTTATATTGAAGCCGAGGGCATCAGATAATTTATCCCTATAATCACCATACACAGTTCCATCATCTATATTTAAGTGGCATTCTTATATGATTCTACGTGCTTATGGCAAAGATTCGTTCACGATCTGATTGCTTAGTATACGAAATTAATTATACAAAAAAACTATGCTATCAGATAATTGAACAAGTGCGCAATGAATTTCATACCATGGTAATGGTTCGTCTTTAGTTACGACAGTTTAGAAAACGCATTTGTGACCTAACACTAGAGAAATATTGGTACATAGTATATCCGTAAATAGTCAAGGTTGCATAAATATTAATAAATTCGCAACATGTTACGTTAAATCATTTAAATCAACTGCTACTTGGTATCGACTACTACTAGGAATTGAGAGGATCGAGCAATATAATCTTAGATTTTGAAACAATTTTATTCAACACATTAAGTGAATATAAGAATATTTTCTTTGATCTAAGATCGAACACATATCGCATTGTCATAAAATACTCTTATTTACAAATGTATTTAAAATATAGGTCATTCAACTAGATAACAGTTCTGACTCAATTACGTTAAACGTATGGTATTCACGATGTAGCAAGGTGAAAAAGTTTACTAGCGTGAGGCATCCATTTCAGAATTTGCCAATAACTTAGAGTCACAAAATTGGATAAGACCGTATTTACCGCAAGTCATCCAATTACTGTCCTGCTTTGATAATTCATCGCTTACACCATCCGCTAATCCTACTACTAAATCAGCTTTTATGGTCCGTAAGGCAGCTAATGGAGCTGGCCGAAAAGATCGCAGTGCTTGTTTGAATGGATAGGTGTGAGGCCAATTGCGATCGCCTATTAACTTTCGATAGTTCAAATCACCTTTGAGGATTACTAAAGAAGATTTCTCCAAAGAATTATATAAATCTGGCGCAATAGTTCTCATATCGTTATAATCATGACAGGTCGTCCAGAATGAATCCTCAACGATCTGCCAGACACCGTCTTGAATATATTGATGTACTTTACGACCTAACTCTGATATCACTGGGCAATTGTGAGCCACTTTCATTGTTTCAACTTGCCAAAAAAAGTCTTTTAGCATAACATCAGAAACAAACCAAGGTATGCTCTTAACGTGAAAGTAAATTTGATTGGCCATGTTATTTCGATATAAGTATTCTGCTAAGCACAAGTCAAAGAGGAATTCGGGTCCAATGTTGTCCAAAACGAAATCTATTCGTCTCTGATTCGTTGGTACATTATGCCACCGATATTCCAAAGAGCTATATATCTGTCTATCGTCATTCGACAGAATGTTTGATTTTATTGTTTCCAATTGTGTTGTAAGTTTGGTACTTACATCCACATTACCAAATAGTGAAAGGTCAAACATGTTTCCCCATAGCGAGAACTAATTTATATAAAAATGTTGATTTAAATGTGTAATTAGGTCAAGCTCATATTGATTTATCAGTTTTTGAAAGCATAGTAATAATAATGTTTAGTACATTTCAATAATTCACAATAAATATGGCAATAGACTAACTATGACGATTTTATTTGCAACGTGATTATGTGAATAATTAGCTCCTTTTTTTTCAGATCATACTTCAAAGTGACATTTATTACCTGAAGCAGTTGACTAAATTTCTCTGCAGAACGGCCAGCATTCATGGCTAATTGGATAACAGATGGGTAAATATTATCTTCCGGACGAAAAGATTGCTGCTTCTGTTCTTCGTACGGGTCATATGACTTTAGGAACTGACTACAATGAAAGGAAATCAGTATCTACAAGTAATATCTATAAATTAATCAACCATTTTAAAATGCGTTGATTTACGTTATTAGTCAAGGCCTTAACCACAATACGGTATATTGTCCTTTATTATAGTGTACTGCAAATGAATTACTTAACGCTTCCTAATAACCACAGCTGAGTCTATTAAAGCTTAATTCCAACTAGAGTTTATGATATCATTTATACTAATGACTCCGTCAAACTTGCCTAGCCATGATGGCAGAAAAAATACCACGGTACATATAACATTCCGTAAATAGCCAGGAAGCGGTAAACCATTTTAAAGGTCGTTCCGATTCCTGCAACTGATCAGCATTTCTTAGGTAATTGTTCCATATTGGTAAGTCTTCAAATTCATCATTTAATTCTGGAATCTCTTTATTAGTCTGCATTTCATTCCTTAACTTGCTTAATTTGGAAATAATGCCAATAGCATCTTCTGCAACATCCTAGAAATACAAATGAATGAGTTATAGGCATAATCTACAATACACATAATTATTTCATAAGTCTTTTAAGGGGGGATGTAAATTATACTATACGCGCAAGTACGCAATACTCAAGATTTTACACTATTATCCTTAACATATCCATTTTTAATGATAATGAATATAGTAAGTTCCAACCTCATTATGTTCGGCCTTCAATTTGGAAATTTTTCTACTTAAACCATCTATAACTCGAGTTAAAGTCACCGGCAAGCGATCTCGTATGGTGAAATAAGCGAAAGTTCTATTGCATCAGAAATCAGAAAATGCTTACTTTAGTTTTACGAATTGCTTGCAACCCATATCGACAGCTCATTCTGTCCATTACAGTACACAGCAACTAACAAGTACTCGTTACAAGTTACAACTGAAAGCATTTAGTAAAGACTTCAAAAATAAGTATTCACCCTTTATATCTTGCAGATAATCTTTCTGGAATACTGTTCATTTTTAGGCTCTCCATGGCTCTACTCCTTCCCTCCTACTATGAGTCGGCATACGAGATGAGCTACCATTGCAATGGTGCGTTTTAGGTATAATGCCTGGGACGATACTGAAATGTCTGTGCTAGTGTCCATCACGCAGGCGCAATATGAGTTTTCTCCAGTACTGTACGGTCTGTACCCTATACAGTACGTTTTCCCCTACTCTACAGTGTACAGTGCACCATCGTGTGGAAAAACTTTGAGTACAATACTGTAAATTACAGTACAGGTAAAGATAGTGTACCGTATCACTATGGATACAATCATACTGTCTAGCATCACTATGGACACAATCATACTGTACGTACAGTACTGTACTCTGTGTCCAGTATGTGAGTGTGTAGTGGACAGTACAGTACAGTACAGTACGGTGCAAACTTTGACGTCAGTTGAAACTTGAGCGTTGAAACTGTACTGTCCAAATCATCGCGATCGAGGGCTGCAGATCTTGAAATAGACTTTCAATCAAGCTGTCTGATATTTTCCTATCGACTGAAAATCGATTCAGATTGCATTACATCTAATCATCCAAAGTACTGCAATTATTAATATAGAAGTTGAAGAACATGCCTGGAGCTTCAAATTCGAATGCCAAGTCTCACGATGAGCAATTTCGTGATAAAGACAAACCGGCGCAAATCCGTGACAGTAACATTGTCTCCGCCAAAGGTGCTTATTTGGAATTGAAAAAATAAATCGATAGCAGAATATAGACTACAATGAAAGGAAATGGATAAATTGGTGTGTTACTTGGAGTATTCCAACTTATATTAATTAGTAACTTTCGTATTTCATTATTAGCCATTGCAGACGCCATCAGGACTAGTCTTGGGCCCCGAGGAATGGATAAAATGGTAAGTACAGTGTGCTATATCGGCGCCATAAGCCATTACCATGGGTTGTCCAAATGTTATCATTTGTTCTATCGTATGACTGCAGTCGGGTGTTATTACGCAGTACAACTAGTTTTCCTACTTTTCTAATCATGTATATTGTATGTGTATTTAAAACGGTAATTGTAAGATTTAGCTTTGAAGAAATTGCGAAATCATTGTAGTGTGATACCGAATAAATTTTGACTACTCAGTTTGTGAATTTGAGATGTTGCTTTACCTACAAGATAAACTTAGCAGTTGTTGCAATAACGATTTTCTTTACACAATCCTTATGACGCAGATTCGTAGTGGAAATGGAGATGTAACTATCACAAATGATGGTGCCACAATTCTTAAACAGATGCAAGTTCTCCATCCAGCAGCGAAAATGGTAAGTAGGAATTAACTAAAACTAATGTATATTACTAGCTCTTACTAAGTTATACTAGAAATAATGATTCATGACTTCGTAATGTAGTTGTGGATAAGAACACCTGTTATCATTGATGAATGTTGTGGTCTGTCTAACATTTATAAGAGATATTAGCAAAGCCTTTTTCTTAGCACTCTCTTTTGATAACTTTTATAGCTGGTAGAGCTATCCAAAGCTCAAGACATTGAAGCTGGCGATGGTACAACCTCAGTTGTGGTTATGGCAGGCAGCTTGCTAAATGCTAGCTCACAATTATTAGCTAAGGGTATTTATATCTGAAAGTTTTAAGAGTTACGTAAAATCCGAAATAAGCGTACTCATACCGTAACTTTTATGTTCTCCGCCTACAGGAATCCACCCAACAACCATAGCAGATGCTTTCCAGGTTGCAGCGCGTGGTGCTGTGGATCTGTTGAAAAAATTGGCGACTCCAGTCGATTTGAGCGATCGGGAATCATTGCTAAAGAGCGCCTCAACATCACTAAATTCTAAAGTTGTTTCTCAGTACTCCAATTTATTAGCTCCTATCGCAGTAGATTCTATATTGCGTGTGATCGACCCTAAGACTGCATCTAACGTTGATTTAAGGGACATCAAATTGGTCAGATTGCTTGGGTAAGTCTTAACTATATATTAATAAATTTGGTATGCTATATTATTAGGCACTATAAATGATCAGCGAGAGTCAAGATTCTCAGAGCTGAAACGTTTTTAATTAATAGAGGAACAATCGATGATACCGAACTAGTCGATGGATTAGTCTTTACTCAAAAGACTTCCCATATCGCTGGCGGAATTACACGAGTAGAGAAGGCCAAAATTGGGTTAATTCAATTCTGTTTATCGGCTCCTAAAACTGATGTAAGATTTGAAAAGTTACATAAAGATTTTATAGTAATATTGATGTCAGATGCTGTTAAATTGTCATTATGTGAGCAACGCTTATCCATTTAACGTAAATCATTAAAAGGATATACGAAGAACTACTTTATGATATAGTTACATAGTGACACACTATATAGTGGAGCATATCCAGTACTTTCAATTGTACTGTACTTCTGTAATAATTATATTCACATACCTAATTTATAGATGGACAATCAAGTAGTCATATCAGACTATTCGCAAATGGATCGCGTTTTGCGGGAGGAGAGACAGTATATACTTAATTTATGCAAGAAGATTAAAAAAAGTGGTTGCAATGTATTACTCATTCAAAAGTCCATCCTTAGGTTAGCAACCACTAATGTAGTGATTAATGAATTCCTTCAACTATAAAATTTACCTGTTTAAACGAATATTTAGTATAATACAGCAAGGCATTTAATCACACTATTATGCAGAGATGCTTTGAGCGATCTAGCAGAACATTTCTTAGCGAAAATGAAAATTATGATTGTTCGAGATATCGAGAGAGAAGATATTGAATTTGTATGCAAAGTGAGTAATGTGATGTAATATTATGTTTTTATAATGTTGTAATTCTAGAAATTACCATGATTTGTCAAGCTATATAAAGTATCAGTTATAAATATTTCCGCATAATGGTTGCTGTTCAATACTTAGAGCCTTGGATGTAGGCCTGCAGCCAGTGTCGATCATTTGACTCCTGATGTTCTAGGTAGTGCTGGCTTAGTAGAAGAGGTTGATACCGGATTTAATAAAGTTATCAAGGTTACGGGGGTTGCTAATCCCGGCCGAACCGTAACTATTACTATACGTGGTTCGAATAAGTTAGTCTTAGAGGAGGCAGAACGTTCGATACATGATGCTTTATGTGTTATAAGATGCCTGGTTAAGAATAAGTGAGTAATTAATCATCTCGCGTTACGTTGTTTTTAGCTTACTAAACATTACAAATTTGCTTAGAGCCTTGATTGCCGGCGGTGGAGCTCCAGAAATTGAAGTTGCACTACGATTGGCTGAACATGCCAGAACTTTGTCTGGAATGGATGGATATTGTGTTCGTGCTTTTGCCGAGGCATTCGAGGTTATTCCCTATACTTTAGCTGAAAATGCTGGACTAAATCCTGTCGCAGTTGTGACAGAGCTTCGTAATAGGCATGCCAATGGTGAAAAGACAGCCGGGATAAATGTTAAGAAGGTAAATTTGATGCATCTAGACTGTATTTAATAGATTACGTGATTTGCAAATGGTTTTTATTAATGTGAAATGTAATTACCTGCTCGAATCTCGATTAGGGTTTAATCACCGATATCTTAGAAGAGAATGTTGTACAGCCATTGTTAGTATCCAGTAGTGCCATTCAATTAGCTTCGGAAACTGTGAGAAGTATACTCAAGATTGATGACCTCGTAAGTACAATATCTACAACTTTATAGGATTTCTTTCCATAAAGGTTAACGATTTTTTAAGATTGGAACGAAATAGCAATAGGATTCCTAACATCAATATTTCGATTATCGCTTTTTAGGTGGCTGCGAGAGGATAAATGTGAATGTTAATGGAAATTACTTCACGAAAATATCTTTTTCAGACTTTTACATCTAATTGAACGTAAATTGTGCTCGATTTCTTTTTCAGAACAGCGCAAGACTTATCTGCGCAGCATTGATTGATAGTACAGCTTACATCAGATATTGTAGGTTCGCCTTTGAGCGAATCGCATATCATAGCACAGATCCACTTTTTTTCAATTGTTCATATTTAATTTGTTATAAATTTTGAAGTAACGTGTAGTTATCCATTGAAATAATAAAGTCCTAATTTATAATAAATCTGATATTACCTATAAAATATATTCATTCCATTTTAATGTGCTGGTATCGATGGTTTCCATATTTTAACGGAATTTACTAGGACTGTGCTCCCATTCATTAAAATTTCCTTCGTGTTATGTGAACCTACTTTATTTCATCACCATGCATGAATAGTTTGTACTGCATTTACAGCATAATTCGATTTAACCACGATATGATTAAAGTACGGGAAATTTAAGATCAGCTTATCTCACGCTGTACTTTAAACACCTAATGGCAATATCTTATGCAATAATACTAGCAAATAACCTCGCCGTGTTGTTGGCTCTTTTCTCTTATATTTACAGCAATGTATTGGTTTAGATCATTATCAGCTTAAATTACATTATATTGCTAAGATAACTGGACAATGCAATGTACGTTATAAATATTAACTACATTAAACAAAGATAAGGATCATAAGAGAAATAAGTATTTAGAATTCCGTTATTCTAAATTGAATCTAGAGTAGTTTCAATCCGTTTAAGGTTTCACTTGCTAGCAAACACGGTTGAATCTTCTTAGATACACATGAAGTGGATTTGCTCCATACAAGGACTGTACAGTATACTGCATAGTTTATCGCCATAATGTTCCACGCAGTTTGTAGTTATGTAATGTTTCAGAATTACTAATCAGCGCAAGCGCATAGAACTGCGTGCGCATTTTTGTTACCAAAGTCGTGCAAACATGTGACGCTTCTACTATAGCATAGTACGCATGCGTCATAGTAATCTTTGCGTAAACTTCTATTGGTAGAGGATAACAAACTTATCCTTTCTGAAAAGCAATATGAGTAACGATCATAAATAGAATTTACTCTATCAGGTAAGCTTAAAGTTCCGTACAGAATGTACTATCGTACATTGTATTGTTAATAATTCTAATCTACAGTATTATATTGGTATAAATCCCACCCACCTTATCGCCGTAACCCTCCCAAACAATCAAAATTGATACTGCGCATGCGAGAAACAATTGTTAAGGAAATTTCTAAGTCCGATTATCCGGTTTATCTTAGCCGTTTTCGACTGTTTATATGAGGAGTAAAATTCGAAATCGGAAAAAATACTCCAATAGCGTTTTGATCATATACCAGTCTAATCCACTGGGTCAATTGGTCGAACAAATCTCTATCATCGACAGTCAGTTGATATAAGCCATTAGTAAGGCAGTAAATCGAACAATCTTGTCTCATTACTGCTAGACTAAGGCTATGTGACTGTAATCTATACAATTGCTGTAAGATCATTTCGATCGAACACAGTTGTATGCATCAATCGCGATGCAAATCGCTTACGATGTGGTTGTATGTGATAGGCAATGCCAATCTATACAAACCTAGCAAATTGAAACCTTGTGTTTCATCAAATACTGTGTATGCACTATGAATCTTCAACATTGATTTTATCAATCCATTGAAAAACTTCATGGGCTACCAGTAAGGAGAAGTGTCAAAGATGTGGCAAATAAAATAGGTATTTCTTACTTCATTCCCGTGACGGAAATGTCAAGTAAGATTAGATACCTTGATACAAATTGTTGTAGCACTATGAGCTATCATTGTATTTTGATAGTTCAACAGAGTAATTTATAGTTCAATTGTGCAAGATTGTACTTATTTTAAGTACTTGATTGTGAATTGAGTATAATTGCTTTGTGAATAGCAACCTGGTTGATCCTGCCAGTAGTCATATGCTTGTCTCAAAGATTAAGCCATGCATGTCTAAGTATAAGCACTTGTACTGTGAAACTGCGAATGGCTCATTAAATCAGTTATCGTTTATTTGATCGTACATTACTACATGGATAACCGTGGTAATTCTAGAGCTAATACATGCGAAAAGTCCCGACTTTGCGGAAGGGATGTATTTATTAGATCAAAAACCAATGCGGGCTTGCCCGGTGTTTGGTGATTCATAATAACTTATCGAATCGCATGGCCTTGTGCCGGCGATGCTTCATTCAAGTTTCTGCCCTATCAACTTTCGATGGTAAGGTATTGGCTTACCATGGTTACAACGGGTAACGGAGAATTAGGGTTCGATTCCGGAGAGGGAGCCTGAGAAACGGCTACCACATCCAAGGAAGGCAGCAGGCGCGCAAATTACCCAATCCCGACACGGGGAGGTAGTGACAAGAAATAACGATACGGGGCCATCTGGCTTCGTAATCGGAATGAGTACAATTTAAATCCTTTAACGAGGATCCATTGGAGGGCAAGTCTGGTGCCAGCAGCCGCGGTAATTCCAGCTCCAATAGCGTATATTAAAGTTGTTGCAGTTAAAAAGCTCGTAGTTGGATTTCGGAATGAATCTGACGGTCCGCCTAACGGTGAGTACTGGATGATTTGTTCTTCTTCTTGAGGGCTGCATATGCTCTTAATTGAGTGTGTGTAGGACTG